CAGAATAGGCAGAATAGGGGCCTCTGGATTTGTCAACACAGAGGTTGACACCCTGGTGACCTTCCTGAGAGTAAGACTGGGTGAGGTATGTATGTAAAACTTAAGTAGTTTGTGAGAATGAACAAAAAATTCAACACAGGTCAAAGATGGGTAGGTGACAGGACAAGTGGGCTAAGATGATGATGGGGTTATGTATTTGTGTGGTGCCAGCATGTCAGTTACACAGTGGTCAGAGCAAGACCTCAGCTGTCTCCTGCTGGTTCTCTACCTTACTGCTTTCAGAGTCAATAAATTGGAAGATGACCCTTTTGTCTAGAGTGGCTGGATAGTGAGATCTTGGAACCCATGTGCCTCTCTGCTCCCCAATGCAGGAGTTACAGATACACGAAGTCATGCCTGTTGTTTTTCCCCTTTGGTACTGGGGATTTGAATTCAGGTCCTCATGCTTGCAGGGCAAGCACTCTTACTCAATGTACAAACTCCCTGGCCCCCGTTTTTAAGTGGAGTAAACAGCAAGTTTTTATGTTGCAAGATCAATCGAGCATTCTCCTTCCCAAGTTTAGTGCTTTCACGTGCTCTCTTTATAGACATGCTCTGATGAAATATGGCCCTCTCACACAACCAGTGTACTAAATCCCTTCATGTACCTACAGCAAGGAAGTAGAGTGACTGCTTTACAGCAGTGCTTAACATCTAAAGGGCATGCTGTGCCTAAGTGTGACTGTTGGACTTAGGGAAGCCTGGCCTGCTAGACTGGTTCTCTCATAAAGTGAAATATTAGATATTAAATGGTGTCATTCTTATATCTTTGGTTGTGAGCCTAGCCTTTAATGGCTGAGCTATCCCTCCAGCCCAGCGTCATTCTTAGAATGTTTTCTGTCTCCATCCCTGTCGATAACACTTTATAACCCCAAGTACTACAGAGATGGCATTTAGGGTCTGGAGGCTGGAGACATGATCACTACTCAGGCTTTTTATAAAAGACAGCACCACACTGTTGAGGAACAGGTACCAGGTGTTCTGATTGGGACTACTTGTTTGTTTTTATAAAGACAGGTTCTTGTAGCCCAAGCTGACCTCAAACTATGCAATTGTTTCTGGCCTTGAACTACTCCCTTCCCTGATCACCTGTCTCCACTTCGTGAGTGCTGGATCGTGGGCATATAACACCATGCCCAGCTCTGACTGGGACTGAATTATTAAGTGGGCTTCGTGCTCCTTCCTCTCTTTGAAATGGACACCAATGAGAATAAGCATAAATACCCCAATCACTTCCCGGCTGTTGACATTTGGTGTTGTACATTGAGAAATTCTTTCAGATAGGTTTTACTTTTACTCCATGTACTTTAGTGGAAAACAGGGACCAATGAAACCAAGGTGCTTGTACAGGTGTTCTGCTTTGAAGTTAAGTCAATAGGATACACACACTGAACAAGCCAAAATACTTACTTTTCATTTTCTACAAAATGGTTTATTTTGCTGTTTACTATGGAGAAGCTACAAATACATTCCATATGAAAACAAAGGAGTGAACTTTGTAGCACTGTAAAACATAAATGGTCATGAGGAATTGAGAAGCCAGGAAAAGGGGCATGGCATCTAACATTGCTCATCTCCCATCATACTCCTTAAATGTCAAAGGCACTTGCCGAAATGGTTAAATCAGGGATTTCAGGATGTAAAATAATGACATACAACTAAGACATAAAAACAATGCTTGAATTTTCTTATCACTAATATTTTACTAAATCCTCAGACATATACAATTTACAGTTTTAAAATAACATGATTTTATTTCATAATGAAAAGAAGCTAATACAACACTGTCAAACCAGAATTTTTCTATACTCAATTATAACAAGAACATGTTAATCTCTAGGTAATCACCTAATCACCTCTCAGTACACACTGGAAATCAGCTCTCACTAGCACAGTGTGACTTCTAGAGCAAAGTGTCCCCCTCCCCCCACCCCAACCTTTGTCTAGCGTCTGCCAGGGTACTGCAGTGCTTAGAGACACAACAGGACATGGTCCTTGCTTCACAAGTTTACACTTATCCCAACTGGATTAGCAATGTTTTTCTTTTCATCTGTACTCACTTGTTCTAAGTAGTTTTGTAAAATAAAACATGAGCCAGAATAAAAGTGTGCTCCCATCCCTTATTCTACCTGACATATGAAAATAAATACCAGAGTAAGACTGACATCAGGCTTAAAGAGAAAGCCCATTTGCACATGGTGGTGCCCACGTGTAGTCTCGGCTACTTTTGAGGCTAAGTTGGAAAGATCACTTGAGCCCAAGAATTCTTTCTTTGGTCAAAAAGAAAAAGCCTGCAGGGCATGGTGGAACACACCTTTAATACCAGCACTTGGGAGGCAGAGGCTGGTGACTCTCTGAGTTTGAGGCCAGCCTGGGTCAGAGTCTCAAAAACAAGACACACAAAATAGGCTCAGATTCCATCAGTCTAAGGGAAGGTGGCATTTGTATGGACTAAGATGGCCCTTTTTTGCTCCTTCTGACCCATTGTCTTTATACTGTTCTATGGCAATTGCCCTCGCAAAACATGTTTAGATTGACTCATGTTCTTAGTACCACTCACAGAAAAGTAAAACTGACTCTAATAACATTTCTATGTGAAAACACAAAATTTGATTGATAGTATAGTCCTTAACTTAGCAATGCTCTGACTCAATACAACTAATGACAATTATGTTCAACACTAAAAAGACCTCTTGCATATTTTCTAACCATAAAGTATATACAAGATGTGAATACAAGTCTGTTTGGGCTACAGTGCCGACAAGGACACAGAACACGTGGAAGTGGCAAGGAGAGATATCAAACTCTTTCCACATCTGATCCTCAGCCTGTTTGTGTGTGTGTGTGTATTTACAGGGTACCCACATGCTACCCAGAACACAAAGTGTAGATTCTGCTATTAAAAGGCCAACAGTACTTTCTAACACAGAGCCCAGGAATGAACTGTAATGACAGTCCCAGGAATCCCTGTACCTGACATGTATTACTCTTTCTTCATTTTAAACAATGTTCCATCACCATTACTGGACCCTCTTTTACTCAGTATATTTCCCAGTTTATAAAACTTTGGGACAATTTCCAATGGGTTTTGTTAGGACAAAGGAATCCAAGGTCACAGGTGCTACTGAGCTATGACCAGGAGAAGAACCCACTCATCACAAACTGCTGCAAGGGAAAATGCTTCTGTTTTGGACAAATCACAAGGGCACGCTTCAGGCATGGAAGTAGTGACCTGATTTCACTGGGCATCAACTAACATTAGCAAAGCTACTTGAATGTTTCTGTTGATCTTCACTGTTGTTAAATAATGATAGTTTTGATGGTGGTAAAACTTCATTTTTTCAAGTGCAGGATGATCTGAGCTGGATGAGAAAAAGAATGATTAAGGAGGGAATGAAGGCAGGCCTGGCATCAATTTGAACAACTATTTCCCTTCTGATTTTGTACTTGTTTGGTTTTGATTTTTGTTTTTTGTTTGGTTTTGTTTTGTTTTTTGAAACAGGTTCTTACTCTATAGCCCAGGCTGGTCCAGAACACACCATGAAGCACAGGATGGCTTCAAAATCATGGCAACCCTCCTACTTCAGTGTTCAGAGAGCAGGACTTCTGGGTGTGAGCCATTATCCCTGGCTCTCCTCAGCTTCTTATTCTAGAAACGCCCATATTTCCAATATTTCACATAGTATCTTAAACATGCCAGTAATTTTAAGGTCTCGGATAATGTAAGATCAAAAAAGATAAAACAATAAATAAACTGAATGAAGTCATCACTGCTGCAAAATTCTCAGTCACATGCCAACAGGGTTTCCTCAGTAGCAATAAATTTAAATACAAACAACTATATATAGAAGCAGTTATGTGATCTAAAAATTTTATACTTAATGTTTAAAAAATAATTTTATAATTCTATTTTTTAAATAATTGTTTCCTTATAAGTGGCATACTTTATTAAAAGCAGCACAGGAAATACGGAGTCTTTTCAGAAAAAAAACTTCACTAATAGTGAATGAAACTAGACTTCTATATGGAAAACTAATGATGCAGGATCTAGTTACACTCTAAACACGAGGCAAACATCAGGATCAGCTTGGCTGATGCAAGTAAAACATACTGTCCCTCAACTACCAGCTGCTGGGATTGAGAAGACTCCTTGGCCCACCACTTTCAAAAGGGTTTACATCTTTTGTGCATCTGAACTGACTGACAGAATGAAGAGGCCAGAGTCAACCTTCCATAATATGCAAGTACTATAAAGTCAGCAGTTATATCTAGACCTTGCAAGTGTCTAGGGCATCACTTCATTTGGCTTCCATCAAATTTCTTTCCATTCTAAACATTCTTTTCTGTTAGTATTAACTACTGTAGAATTAAAATCCAAATTCTTTTATACATTTTGAATTAAAATGATCACAGAAGTGATATCTGTCATACAGGACCACTGTCGTCATCCCCTCCACATACTGATAATCCCTGTGAACTCTATTTCTCAATTAAGATGTCCATGTGAAGAAGTTCCCGAAGTCTCCAATTTGATTAGTGTGGCCTTTCCTCTTACACATCAGGATGCATTTTCACGCTGACTTGTTTAAACAACATGAAGGGGCTGGCGCTCTCTACAATGAACACATCTTGTGCCCCTGAGCATCTGTTACTGACAGTCCGCTACTCACTGCCACTGGCTGTTTGGACACTTGATTGTGCAACATCTATGTCCCCAAAAGAACACACTGCGAGTGTCAGAGAAACGTGACAGTCAAAGCAGAAGACTATGCTAATTTCAGCTCTTGTGGCACAGGGTGTGTTAAAATTAAAGAGGGAAAACTATTAATAAATTAGATCAAGGAAAAAGTTACCTGCAGATTGCACTTACATCAGAATTAGTCCCTTTTTATTGTAGTTTAACTGACAATCGACTGGACCAAGACTGGGCGCTATATATTGCTCATTTTCAAACACTCCAATGACATTCTCCAATATTTTTATTATCTCCAGTTTTATGGTACCATATTATGCATTTCACACTGTTAAAGTTTCCCATTTTCAAAATGCAAATACCAAAAAGTTACCATGTATTCCCTTATACAGTCAGAATAGGTTTACTGGAATGTTTTCAGGTAGAGCTGAAGGCAGAAACATTTACAACACTTAGCTTTTGTTAATCCATAAATGCGGAGATTGCCTGTAAAGCAACTGCAATATGAAAAAATGACATTCTTGCAAATACTGATGGGATGGTTATGAATCTCTTTCAGCATAAGAGTCAGGATTCTACACAGGCATCCTGACCAGCAGCTTGACCCTCACGTTAATGAAATAATAAATGTTTTTAATGACACTAAAATACAAGTATGAATATTGTCATCAGTGTTTAACTATATATACATATAACAAACTGGCAAGTATCTAGTTTCAAATTAGATCCTTGGAATAAAGCAAAATAGAGTTATCTTTGCCTTAAATATAATTATTCAAAACACATTTTGCTAGTTGGGAAGAAGGTAACTGGATATTCTCAATGCTCCAATTTGAAGTGGTACTTGCCTTTTAGTTTCTTGAAAAAGAAAATTTGAAAGTTATATACACAGGTTTCATTTAAATTATGCAGCAATCTTTAATTATTATTGTCCCAGATCTTGTTTAATGAGGATCTCTGTCACCAAATCAAGTACGGTTTTTCACAACTATAAGAACTGTAAGAGAAAAAAGTAAAACAAAAAAAGAAAAGAATGCATCAAAATCAGAACCATATCACAGCTAGGTCAGAAGCACAATCCCTAAGTGTAGGTACCGGCCATTGTTAGAGAGGAGAAACCCAGGCCAAACTCTGATCTGAAATAACAGCTATGAAATAAGAGGACATACAGAAACATCATAAAACAACCGGTGTCTAACACTGGCCTCTTGAGCAAATAAACCGTGGCAAAACAGTAGCCCGTAGCTTCTAAAAATTATTACAATATTTAATGATGTGGGAAAATAATTAATAAAATATTTATTGGAAAATATCTGATATGATCTTAGATTTTGAAAATCATGCTAACATACCAATAGGAAAAGACTAAAAGCATATACAATAGCTATATTGACAGCAGCTATAGTAGTATAGTGAGAGTCCAGTTAAAATTTTATAGTCCTTTTTATTGCATAGTGCCAACCATTTATGGTAGGTTCTTGTTACTTGAGATAATTATATTCTACAAAGTTATCATGAACACTGAACTGGTAACTCCTGAGCCACTAATCCTAGGGAATATACAGACTTAAGTTCCCATGAGTGTCTGGCTATAAATCAACACATAATCTTGTTTTATGTGTGTTTTTCTGAAAGACATTGTTTAATAGATACCATTAAATAAAAATATAATGAAGTCAAGGTTAGCAGCATTGTAGCTCATCCTGGAATAAGCCCACATACATATTTTCTGGAAAGGGTTACCACAGCTTTAGTAAAAGGGACAGCATTTCTAGACTATCCATGAGGTCCGTTTCAAACCATGAAGTCAGCAAAAATGTGCATCAAGCAGTCTATGAAAAGGACACCTGGTTATGCAATGAAAGCTGAAATAAGAAGGTAGATCTCCATTTGACCCATCTGGAAACCTATGGGTCAAGGGATTCAAAATTCTTCTTGTTCTGAATGACCATGGAAGTAACATGATTAACATGGGGGTTACAAATACACTTCAACTAGTAAACAAATTCAAACAACAACCCAGGTAATGAGACTGGATTATAGATTTCCGTAACACTTTTTAAGTTTAAAAACTATCCTTATAAAAATTTTCAACTTTCTAGTTCTTCAAAAATCTTTGTAAAAGTAAAGAGATCTTGAAGAAAGGTACTTAAAAAAATGACCTGACTTTGAAAAAAATAAATCATCTGGAGAAATAAACTGGATTTGTCTCCTGAACATTGCAGTAAAGAAAAAAATGTATTTTGGTCCTAAATATAACAGATAGCAGCTTTAGCCTTAAACAGATGGCTAAGCCCTGTGCTGTGACTGGGGTGTGGCTGAGGAGCAGGAGAGAGAGTACCCTTTGAGAATATAGACTCCCCACAGAAATGTACACATGCAAATTCACATAGAACTTCAGACACTTAAAGCAGTTTTCAGAGACTGAGAGATTCTAGGTAAAGGTACCCTCCTTATTCAAGGCATATGTCATTATCCAATGCTCACATTACACACACGAGGTCAACTAATGAAAAGGAATTAAAATGATTTTAATATAAAACCCTAGCCAGAGGCCAGCCTGGGCTACACAGTGGCATTTAGGACAGCCTGGGCTACATAGTGAGACTATGTCACGGGGAAAAAAAAATCAAGACCATATCAAACCCTAAGTCTTACAAAACACAATACCCCATGGAACAACGATCCAATAAATACTTACTGATAATCATTAGCAAAAGGATAGCTGCAGCCAAAGCCATGATGGCTTTTATCTATAACACACAAAAAGACAAATGAAAGATTTGACTCGTTAATAAAAACAAGACTCTCTGGTTTACTATTTATTGTACTATACTACCTCATCAATAAACAGGCATACTTTGGGGGAGATTTCCAATTCAATGCTTCTCGAAAGAACTTGATGGCTGTTTTGCATTCTTGTGTAAATAATCAGTGCCCCCAAATGTATGGCTTTGCTTTGGTGGATGTTACCAGCTAAAGCTGTACTGCACAGTAGCAGCCACAATCGAAGCCTTCTCAGGGCTGGGCCTACTTCTAATGCGACACACAAAAGCTGTACTTTTAGCAGTTACAGTCAGGACTGGATGAAAATACAGGTAGCCAGTAGACCATGTATTATTTTACATACAATGGTCCTGTCTTATGTGGGGAGTTATGTGCCCTTGCTCCATGAATGCCTTAAACCATGGATCATACCAAATCGTTTATGTGTGGTTTTCCCTGTAAAGGCATACCTATGATAATAAATTGATAAAGTAAATAGAATAGACTAATAACCAACAGTAAAATGGAACACATGTATAATAAGGGAAAATGAATTTGGTTTTTCTCTTCCAAGAGCCAAGACAAATTTAGGTTTCTCTAAGCACAGCTCACTGTAGATAACCAATGATATGGAAAACAAAACATGGATAGGGGCCAGCTATTTATATGGAAGCAGGCTTCAAAGGGGACCATTACACATATGGCAGCAGGCTTCATAGCAGTTTTCTCCAAATATGTAAGAATACTGTCAGTTGTTTTCTTGCCATATTTTCTTCACAGTAATTTTACCCCTTCACGAAGTTTTAATCTCCATTTTAAGGACTATACTTTAGATTCCTTATGAATAACAACACATAAGTGACTTAAGAGTATTGTGTCAGTATCAAATTAGAAAGAAAAGCCTTAAGATCATTTTTCAGGGGGGGCTGGAGAGATGGCTCAGACGTTAAGAGCACTGGCTACTCTTTCAGAGGCCATGAGTTCAATTCTCAGCAACCACATGGTGGCTCACAACCATCTGTAATGAGATCTGGTGTCTTCCTCTGGCCTTCATGCAGACAGAGCACTGTATACATAATAAAAAAATCTTTTAAAAAATCATTTCTCAGTCAGCTGCTTGACATTTTAAGTTCATGTTATCTTTCTATATAAAACTGTCACAATCATTCCATTTTTTCTTAAATGCATACATTATATAAACTAATTTCATTTCCTTGATGAATCAAAAGCCTTGCTTTCATCAAACATTTTCATATAATTAAAAACTTATGACTTTAATCTCAACATTTGGGAGGCATAGGCAAATGGATCTCTGTGAGTTCAAGGCTAAGCCTGGTCTACAGAGTGAGTTTAGGCCAGCCAATCTTTTTTTTCAAAGGAAGGGGGATACTCAAAAAAGATCAATATTGGTAGTAGATAGGTAAATAAAAATATATTAGATAGTGAAAGTGTAAAGTCCAGTGTGAGACTCCACAGCTTCAAAAGGGCTGTTCTAATTGGATAATTATACAGACGGTCACTGAGATATACTAGGTAATTATATGGATGGTCACTGATATATACTGGGTAATTTCAATGTGTGACTTTTTTTTTAATTTCCAAAATTTTTATAATATGGTTCTAAAAACTTAAAAAATCAGTATTTCCAATATTATAAAAGAGATGTTTCATTCTAATGACAATCATAAATAGAAATGGGAATTAAATATTTTAAAAATAGAATGACATTACAGCTATGACACCAACAAAGTGACCCAAGAAACACATAAAGAGCTTTGCAATGTGGATATAAAAGACTATGTCTGTAATTATGATACTTACAAATGTAAACATAGTGTTGAACCTGGGCTTATGTTATACTAAAAGTACTTTAATCCTTTATTTAACCTGAGAATATTTTTTTAAACCATATGGAATTTAATAGTAGCTTTCCTACCTTTCCCAAAACACCTATTAATTTGTCCTATTAAAGTAAAGTTAACTAGGCTTAACTTTACAAATTTATATGGAAATACCAACAAAAATTTAAAAATACCATATTGAATAGAGTTTTCTTCCTTGGTTTCCAATTTGAAGCAAGAAGTATCTAAAACCATCATACTCAAATACATTTCCATTACAGGCCCCAAGATCCCTCATAACCAATTGTAACCTATTACCACCCTACAACCCTTTCAGTCACTGGCAACCTCTGATGTCTTTAATTTCCATAACAGCCTTCCTACATCACTACCATGAAAGTCAATCCAGAAAGCAGGAGACATGGGAAACGTCCCAGATGAACTGGAGCACAACGAGGTACTGATAGTGTATGAGAGAGAAGAAATATAAGCCTTGCTACTTTAACTCATCTTCATTGAGTCATAGGACAATGTTGTTCATTGTGTGCTTGATGCTAGAATGATCTACAGGGTCTGAGTCTATTTAAAACCACAGTACTGTGTATTTTAAACTCTTTAAAAACATTAGAGGAGGAGGAGGCAAAGAAGAAATTAAAGAAAATACAAAATTTATTCTCTGAAGAAAACAAAAATAGATAAAATGTTCTATATGAAAGGAGCAATGAAATTTGTCTTTCTTTCCTCAGTTCTATTTCTGGAAACAGGATATTTAACAGTTAAACAGACAAAACTCAGTAAATCCAAGACATCTCTTGGAAGAAATCCTTAATATATGGCAAACTCAGGTTTAAAAGATTATCACTGAGCTGTAAAATGAGGGTTTAAAAACAATGAGTCTGCCAGATGGTGGTGGCACATGCCATTAATCCCAGTGCCTGGGAGGCAGAGGCAGGTGGGGGAGTTTGAGGCCAGTCTAGTCTACAAAGCAAGTTCCAGGACAGTCAGGACTGTTACACAGAGAACCCCTGTCTCAAAAAACCAAAAACCAGCCGGGTGTTGATGGTGCATGTCTTTAATCCAAGCACTCGGGAGGCAGAGGCAGGCGGATCTCTATGAGTTCGAGGCTAGTCTGGTCTACAGAGCGAGTTCCAGGACAGGCTCCAAAACAATACAGAGAAACCTTGTCTCGAAAAATCAAAAAAAAAAAAAAAGAAAGAAAGAAACCCCCAAACAACAACAACAAACCCAATGAGCCTATGTTTAAGGATTTTGGCAAAATGAAAACATATACCTAGACTTGAGGAAAAAAAGATTTGCTCTCATCACATGATATTTGCCAAAAAATCTTAAAGACATTTACTTCATAACTGATCATACTTGACTTAAGAGGCAAATTCATTTCTTCAGGATATAGTATACAGTGATTCCATTAGTCCTTATTAAAATTTTTTCTTATTTCACTGAAATAATGAAGGAATAAATAGGACTTTTTTTCTTAATCTTTTTGTTAAAGTTTATGGCATACAAACTGCTTCTGATTTTTCCCCTTAGGAGAAAAATCATACTTCTCTCTAGTTTCATTTTTATTAAAGAAAGAAAAAAAAGAAAGGAAGAATAAAAGAAGAAAGAAAGAAAGAAAGATAGAAGGAAAAAGAAAAGAAAAACCCCACTCTGTATATAATGAATTGTTTGGACAGTGCTAGGAAGAAGTGCTGCTAAGGGCAGCGGTCGTCACCATGCGTCCAGATGCTGGGGCACTGGGAAATGAGGGGTCCTATCATGGAGAGGACTATGAGGCACCCTTTCCGACGGACACTGCTTGGTTCCTTTAGTAACTCCTTCTTGTTCCAAGCTGAGGAAATCTCTCAATAAGCAAGGCAATTACACCATTTGTCCTCACAGAGCTCACTGCTAGAGGCCCCTTCTCCTCACATCTTCCTCTGCCCCCCCCCTCCCCCGTCTCATTTACTTACTTTGCATCCACGCCACCACATTTGCCTTCGGAGTTGTTTGGATCTGTTGCTGAAAGCAGTTGCATTATCCGATAAGCTTTCTGTATACACAGAGGGTGGGGAGAAAGATTAAAACATAACAGGATTCTCTTATCTAGTCACACAGATATAAAAAAAAACATCAATTTCGACTTCTTAAAATTTTCCCCCACAAATTCTGTTAGTTTACATTGGAAAAAAAAAAAAAGCAAAACACAATGAAAGGTCAGTTTGTTCAACCAATCCCACCCCCATCCTGGACTCAAGATTTCAAGAACCCTTCCTACAGCCTCAATGCTTACATACACAAGCTTCTTAATTCTGGTAAGAAAATAGAGTTTAAAAATAAGAATGGTGGGGGGATGCAAGATAGACACTCAGCTTGATGACCTGAGTTTGATACACAGAGACCCACATGGTGGAAGGAGAGAGCCAAGAGCCCGGTCTCCACATATTCATCATTGTGTGCTCCAATGCATGCGCATGCATGCAAATTCATGTAATGCCTTTTTACAAGGTCTCATGGGCTGATGCCTGATCATACACATTAGATCCTAGCACCAGAAACAAAACAAATACTTGGCACAACTCTAAAAAAATTGCACACAGAGAAAATTACATTTTTAGAAAAAAAGGATAGCTGATTTTAAGGGAAGAGAATAAACAATCAAGCAAGTTTCTGGTCAGGCAAGTCTAAATGAATATGGCATGCAGCCACTCACCATTCATACAGCATGAATGGCTAATATGTGCCAAAAACCAATACAAGCTCAAAGGCTAATAGCCTGTAAACAAAAGTTACTAAGTTTCCAGGGAAAGCCTAAGTCATCGTTCAAACAATATTTGAGGTCCAGGTATGTGCTAGGAAACATTATAGACACAGAGACTAACACCTGTCAGTGAAGACAGACTACTCCCCAATTACCAGAGAAGATATTAAGTAAAAATATTAGGCAAGTTTAAAAGGAGTACTAAAAACAGATTAGATTTTAGCATCTTGACATCATAAAAAACATAAAGCATATCAACATAACAGTAAGACCATTCAAATCAATGGGCAGAAACTAAGCCATGGCCATCAGTCTTAAGAACTGAATGTTAACTTCCTAACCCATGATTCCTAAACATCAGTGAGACAAATGGAAGGTATGTATTAGCTACACACATATTCATATCAAGAAATACACAAAATGGGAGGTGGCTGTACCTGATTTGTCCTGCAGTTCATCTAGTCTCTCTCCTCTTTCAATTACCTTTGTAATATTTTCTTGCATTACATCAATAACTTCATCCACCTGATTCTGAACACTAGTTTGAAAAGAGATAAGATTTATTCTTTTTTTAGGAATATCCACACTTTTAGAACTTTTACTAGATAACAAATTCTCAGAGAACTGTGGTTTGCCATTCAACTATAAAATTAAGCAGTGTTTTTCCGTTTGTTGGCCTGAGTACTTGGATACTTAAGGATACAGGCTATACATTACAGTAATATTTAACTGAAAGTGTATTTTTAGTCTTGATTCTATCTTGAATGTATCTCATAAGCAAATCAAGCACTGACAGAATGCTCAGTAATCAACTTCAGCTATTCAGTGAAAACTGAAACAAACTTAAGAATTAGCCTCAACTACCTACTTTCCCTTAGGAGTTACTTCCAAAGTTAAAAAAACAGAAATGCTTAATTGAGTGTCTAGTATTCCTGGGACACTCTAACCACAGATAAGAACCTATCTTAAATTACTTTATATATAAGCCTTGACAATGAAATATCTGACTATATGATCTCTGTGTCACAACTACTCAACATTGCTATTTTGCTCAAAAACAGCTACAGATAATATGAATATAGAGCATGTAGTCTAAGAAAAAATAAAAACCAAACAAGTTTGTTTATAAAAAACAACAGCCAGATCTGGTTCGCAGGCTATAGTCTGATAGCCCTGATCCACAGAGAACTATGATAATCATTTAAATGAGTGAGTATCTAGGAACTTACTGCTTAATTTTATCATTTCTAGGCCCAAATCTTGGTCCAGATGGTCCCCGTCTGAAAATAAAATACCCAGTATATGTCAGCAGTGACAATATCAGACAAATATCAAAACAAGAAACACATCTCTCTGTGCTATCAAGCTGAATTCTAAATATGGATCATCATTAATCATATGGAGCTGCATTTTTTAGGAGCTGACAGAAATGGATGCTACACAATCATGTATCTACTTCATAGTATGTACTGTTGGCCATAATCTAATTCTTCCAAGTGGTACAACTTCCTGAGAAAGTAGAGTACATAATTCTAACCTTTAGTGGTACTATCCCTCCTACACATTAAACTCTGAAATGTCATATCAACTCAACTGTCACTATGAATACCTTTGTGGTCAATTCTAGAACTAAAAACACAACTTACTTTGAATTTACTCAAAACATTAAAAATTTGAAGTATATTTTAAAATACCTTTCTTTTTTTAAGATTTTATTTATTTATTATATATATACAACATTCTGCTTCCATGTATATCTGCACACCAGAAGAGGGCACCAGGCCTCATAAGGGATGGTTGTGAGCCACCATGTGGTTGCTGGGAATTGAACTCAGGACCTCTGGAAGAGCAGTCAGTGCTCTTAACCTCTGAGCCATCTCTCCAGCCCCTTAAGATACCTTTCTTACAGATACCCACACAACAAGAGGAAAATATAAGAGCACAAGGAAGTATGTAACAGTCTCAAGCTGTTACTGTCATCTCTTGTTACAGTCAGGTGTGTAACACCTTGATACATCCACGTCAATGCTCTTGGAATGGCAACTTCAGGATATTTTGATAAAAATTTTTCTGAAGATAAAGAAGGTTTAAACCACAAAACTCAAAAAACAAATCCTAGCTCTTAATTTTTAGACATGGAACTTTCTAAATGAAGGGGAAATGCACTTATAAGAAAACACATTTAGAGAAAAAAATTAAAGCATTCATTAAAATAATATCATTTATAAATGTGACAATATCAGACTGCCTTAGCTTCTGTAAGCTTTACCCTCTCAGTCTTCAGAGTTCCAACTAAGTACTGCAGTTCTGGGCCAGTGTTTATCCCAAATGACAAGTCAAAGTATGATGTTTCATATTGTGGACCAGATAACTATGAATAAGTCCAGAGACAAGCATGAAAAAGCAGTGATTAAATAAGGACGCCACAGATGAAATAGTTACCTAAAAATCATTAGGATAAAACATTCCAAAAGCTGACTGTTGTGGCTTATGCCTTTAATACCAGCACTCAGAGGCAGAGGCAGGTGGATCTATGTGAGTTCGAGGTCAGCCTGGTCTACAGAGTGAGACAGCCAGGGCTACACAGAGAAAACAAAAACAAACAAACAAACAAAAACCCTCAAAAACAACAATAACAAAAAACCCAAACCAACCAACCAAAAAAAAAAAAGACAACATATAATCTACTATCGTGACATTATTTCTTCAGAATAGTATTTATGACATAAGAAATATGGGGTAAAATGAAGAAGAGGGAGAAGGAAAGGTAGGGAAAGAGTGAGAATGTGACAGACAGATGAACAGATACATGGTGGCACACATCTCTAATCCCAGCACTTGGGAAACAAAGGACAGGTGATGGCTGAGCTTGAGGCTATCCTGGGAAACAGAGTGAAATCCTGTTGGCAGGATGGGGCCTAAGGAAGATATGTAAAAACTTGATTTCAGTTCAACAAAAGCTTTAAGGGTGGTATGGCCACTTGAGAAGACAGACGCCAGTGTGTACCAGCCTTCATGCCTAGGGATTACCCAAGAGAAATGAAGGCATGTGTCCTCACAAACACCTGCACAGAAACATTCACAACAGCTCTGTTTCAGAAAAAAAAACGAAAACCACTAAATATCCACACAGACGTGAATGGATAAATGGATTGCAGTGTGTTTACACAATGGAAAACCACTCAGAAAAACAAACAACCTGTTGATCCACAGATGAATTTCAAAATAAGCAGGTTAAGCAAATGAAGTCAGTATAAAAATTTAAAAAGGTGGGGGGCATGCCATACGGCTTTGCTTATATAAAACTCTAGGAAATAGAAACCACAGTGACAGAAAGCAGGTCTGTGGAAACCTACAGCCATGGAGAGCAATATCTTACAAATAAGTTCAAAGAAAGTTCTAAGGCCAGAGTTGTGTTCCTTCTTTATTTGGATGATATTATAGAGATTTACTTTAGTATATGTCAAAACCCACAATGAACACTTTAACCATGTGTACTTTCTTGTATGCTAATTACAATGGAAAAACATATTAACTTACAGAAAAAAGTCCTCTTCTTCATCTGAATCATCTTCCAAAAGATTTCTCTGTCAAAAAAAAAAAAAAAAGAAAGAAAGAAAGAAAAAAGACTTGAGTATGTCAGAGAAGAGAAAAGAAACAAGTTCTAAGCAGCTGACATTTTGTTTTGTTTTGTTTTGTTTTTCCGAGACAGGGTTTGTCTGTGGCTTTGGAGGTTGTTCTGGAACTAGCTCTTGTAGACCAGGCTGACCTCCAACTCACAGAGATCCTCCTGCTTCTGCCTCCTGAGTGCTGAGATTAAAGGTGTGCGCCACCAACACCCGGGCAGCTGCTGACATTTTTAAACAAGCTTCCAGAGCAGGGAAGAGTGAATTACAGGTGTCTCCTGGGCAGTTAGAAGATCAGGGACAAGGTTTGCTGACCTTCCAGAGAAAATGCATTCATTTCCTGAGTCCTGTCACTGGTATGGCAGTCATTCCCTTCCCTCTATGCTCTCTACTGGCAGCCCTGAACTCGGAGTTCAGTGGCTACCCCAGAAGGAGTGTGGGGGGGTGACATTAGAGCTGAGACAAAGGCTCTTCTAGACACCTAATCCAGAAATAGCCCACTACATATGCTGATTTCCATCAAATGTAACTCTATAGTTTCACATTTCCAAACACAAAGTCTTCCTTGAAATGAAGATGGTGCCACATTCTTCCTAAAAGGAGAACATGAGGTCCTAAAAGATTAAAGTCACGTAAAATCCAGACCTTTAGACACAAATAATATATAATATTTTGTAGGCAGAGTATGTGCAGGTGTCCCAAAGATGTCCATGTCCTGGTAACCAAACCTGTACTCTGCCAACTTCCGAGGTGAAAGAGACTTGGTTGGCAATGTCAGTAAGGAGTATGAAGGTCCTTACTGATTATTCATTTGAGTCCCAACTAAGGACATGGTTTTTCAAAAGAAAAGAGGGAGGTAAAAAGAGAGACACTAAGAAACTGAGATTGAAGGTGGAGGAAGGGTATGAACCAAGAAAGGCAGGTAGCTTCTAGTAGCTTGGAAGAGCAAAAAGCAATTTCTCCCTAAGAAAATATAAAATAGCAGAGTTGCAGTGCTTTAATGTTGCGGTAATTCACTTCTACAGAAAGGGGAAACGGATCACCGTGCATCTTTTCTGAGGACATTGATTGAGGAATTTGACCAGCCAAAAAGAAAATCAAATTAGAACAAAGTCTTAGGATACAGATAGATATGATCAAAGAATCTAAATAAATGTACAGCTGAATTTGAATGTGATGAGGGCTTGGGAGTTGGCTCGGTAGGTGAAGGAGTTGCTTCACAAGCACAGGACCTGAGCTGGGTTCCCAGCATCCATGTAACATTATGTACTGGACCCAATACTGGGGTATGGAAACAGGAGAATACTCCATGCTCTCGGGCCAGCAAGCCTACCCAGTCAGCAAGTACTAGGGTCAGTGATAGACCATGTCTCAAAAACCAGGTGTAGAGTAACTGAGAGAAAGACCCCACACACACAGACACACAGACACACGAAGATAATATCATGTGAACAGTAAGTTATTAAGAAGCAAAACTTTCCCATTAAAGCTCAGAGGCTGAGCATGGCAGTGTGAAGTGAGGAAGTAAAAGTATATTAACGTGCTCATCTTGGTGAGGAGTAAAAGCAGGAAGGGGAAGAAAAAAGAAAACTAACGAAGGTGAATAATTTTTGGTGTGTTGACAAATGAGATTTAAATATCACTGCCAAAATATTTAGTTAATATTTAAAAACAGGGAAGAAGAATAAAGAGAATAAATTCATCACAGTGCCTCAGAGTCCCAGGGCAAGGTAAGAGATGAGGAAATGATCAATCTGGCAAAGGTGTGAGGGGAAATAAAAAGAAAGGCATGTATGTATGACAGTCATTTATCCATGTAAAATAATTAATATATAACATATACTAAGGAGTAAAAAAGAAATACTGTTCATTAACAAATACTTGTTAATCCTGAGTATTTCATATGTGCTAGGTATTGGGGTAAATACCAAACATGAGCTGTGACATGGTCTCAGCTCCCAAAGAAAAAGGTGATCCTAAGAAAAATGCCATGCAGAGAATTCAAACAGTGATGGGGCAGAAAGTGACAGGGTGATCTCATGAGACTTAGGCTGCCATAGACAATCATTCTGAAGAGATGAAATTTAAGCTTAAGTTCAAATGATAACAAAGACCCAGACAAATATTAGAGACAGGACACTTACTGCCCATAGGAAAATGGCTGGCACAGAAAAATTCCAGCAGCATTATTTATAATAGCAAGTGAGTGACCCTACTAAAAACAAATCATGTATGACTGGAGATCCACAGATCAGTCAGTATTTGTGTTCAAGAGATTCACTTAAAAGAAATGCCAAATAAAGAATAAGGTGGGGTGTGGAGAAAATACATATTTAAAACATAAAGAATATTAGTAATCTAAAGACAAACCTTAAAGCACCACAATAAATAACCAAATAAGACTTTTTGTGCAACAATTATAAAAAGCACCATCTACAAAGAAGACTTAACAACAAGAAATATTTAACAATGCTCAATGTTCATCTATTGACAGCATAGTTTGAAATATATAAAATAAAGGTCATATCAAATTACAAGCCCAGTGAGTTACACCCTGCTTTGAAGATAACTAGATAGAGAGAGTTTATCTCAGTTGTCCACTAAGAAACACAGAGTGATATTCACTGACTAGATATATGTGTTAGGGATACAATATAAAGAACTTATAACAGGATACAGTAAGTTACCATGCTCACCCAGCAGGCAGTGCAAGTGTGATAAGGGTGTGCTTATAAACCACTGCTAGAAATTTAAAGCTGTACACCCTCTTTGGAAAACAGTCTGAGATCACCCCAAAGGCTAGATACAGTTACTATAAAACATAGTAATTCTGCTGCTAGATAATACCCTCCAAAATGAAAACTGGTCTCAGCCATTACAAAGGTAGGTTCACAACCAAAAATATAAGAATGAAATGTATGTTCAAACAAAATGTATATGTTAGTATTCATTCAGCAGTATTCAGAATAGCTGAACTAAGGGGTGTGGTAGAGCAGGCATCCCAAACTGTCCATCAGCTAATGGATAGATAACTAAAAATGGTACATCCACATGGCAGAATATTACTCAGCAATAAAAAGGAACATAAAGGGGCTGGTCAGATGGTGAAGGGGTTAAGAACACTTTTTGATCTTCCAAAAGAGCCAGGTTTGATTCCCAGTACCCACATTATTTAGGGGGTCTAAAGCTCTTTTGGCCTTCTCAGGCACTGCTCACATGGTGCAAAGACATACATGTAAGCAAAACACCCACATACATAAAATAAAAAATGGAAAAAAAATTTTAAAAAGGAATATCAAGTACTAATACTACAATATTGATAATTTTGAAAACATTATGAGTCAAAGAAGCCAATCACAAGATATATATCATATGACTTCATTTGCATAAAATGTTCAGAACAAGTCAAACTATAGAGATTTAGTTGTCTGTGACTGAAGAAATGAAGGGAATGTGGATGACTGGTAAAGAAAACAGGGCTTCCCTAACAATCTAAGCAACAGAGGAGAAGCTACCCAAAATGCCCTCCCCTGATAATGAGATTGATGACTGACTTATATGCCACCCGATAGCCCTCATCCAGCAGCTGGTGGAAGTAGAAGCAGACACCCACAACTAATCACTGAACTCAACTGGAATGCAGATGCAGAGAAGGATGAGTGAAGAGCAAAGGGGTCCAGACCAGGCTGGTGAAACCCACAGAAACAGATGACCGGGGAACTCTTGCTCCCCAGACTGATAGCTGGGATACCAGCATGGGACTGATCCAGACCCCAGGAACATGGGTTTCAGTGAGGAAATCTCTGCAGGGCACCAGACCTCCTGGAGTAGTTCAGTACTTATCCCTAGCATAGGTGTGGACTTTGGGAGCCCATTCCACATAGAGGAATACTCCCTGAGCCAAGACACACAGGGGTGGGCCTAGGCCCTATCCCAAAGGATATGATAGACTCTGAGGACACCCTATGCTTGGCCTCACCATCCAGGGGGAACAGCAAAGATATTTGAGAGGGAGAGGGAGAGGGAGCGGGAGAGGGAGAGGGAGAGAGAGAGGGGGAGGGAGAGGGAGAGAGAACTGGGATTGTCATGTAAAACAATCTTGTTTCTAATTCAAATAAAAAAAATCTGCAAAAAAAAAAGAAAAGAAAGAAAGAAAACAGGGCTTCCTTCAAGAATATAGATATACCCAAAAACTGACTATGATAGTAGCTGCCAAAATCCACTCAACTATATACATCTAATTTACATGTTTAAATGGCCATAAACCTGAAAATATTACACTGATCTTCTCCTGTCTTTTTATCTAGGAATTGATCCTAAAAACATTCTCTGACCTACTCTGTTTGATGATAGGTCTTAAGACCCCCATCCAAAAGGTTTCTGTCCCATATCCAGCAGAAAGAACACAGAGGCCAAGAAGTAGAGAAACAGTTTCTCTTCCTCCCCTTTTTTCTTTGCTATTAGATCACACCCTTCTATCCAATCATATTTCTACAAAGTTGCCCGTGTTTCATTAAATGTCAATTTAATAAAACAAGCCAATTCACCCTCCTTTTTGGGTCTTCAATCTAAAGGCTCTAATGTCATGTAAAATAAAACCATGATCAGATAAATCTGTTCCACTTTTCCTCTGTTAAACTTTTTTTTTTTTTTATGGGGCTTCAGCCATTACCCTTTAGGGTGAACAGGAAAAGGGTCAACCCTTTTCTGTTCAATACATTCCAGATGTGCTATCATTTACAAGGAATGCAACTTACATCTAAACTTACCCTTTCACTTTTCACAGACCCAGTGACATCATCATCATTTAGGTGTCGCTTGAACTTGGGAGGCATACTTTCTGCTCACAAACACTTTTCTATTTCCCACAGAGTAAGAATTTGCCACCTGAAGAAGAAAACAAATTTCATTATATGAGAAACTTTGAGGTAGAAGCAAAAGTGCCTAAAACTGTACAAGGCCCTGTATATCAGGGTCTCTTCACTTGCAACTACCTACCCTGACTTGCTCCATTCCGCTGACTACAGTCTCTATGCTAAGTCTTAGCTTGCAAGAAATAGTTAAAACCATAAGAAAAACGAATGTTATTCTCCTAAGGAAACATGTAGTAAAAATGGGTAAATTTAGGCTTTTATAAAATGAAAGAGCAGATGCTGTCCAAAAGATGGGAATAGTCCCTAACTACTGAACAAGCTCTGACTTTAACTTGGAGTCAGAAAACAGTGGCAAGCTTCTAGTCACTGCACTTTTACCAGTTGCTTAAGCATTGATTTGGTTCCTCATCTGCACAGAAGTGATTTCCAGGATTCTGCATGAAGTGAGTTGGTCACATGACATAGATAACCCATGCATAAGTATTCGTAAACGATGGTCCACTGTTGCTCCATGAGAGTGGCTAATCTGTAAGTATCAGTGTGACATTGAGGTAATAGCAATTCTATATTTATATACACGTGCAGATTTATTAACTCACAAAGTACATATATGCATACATATATTCACATAAACATATTTACATGCGTGTATATGTACATATTCTCTCTAGTCTTCGTTTCCTGACATATAGATCCTAAAAGCCCCACACACAGGAGTGATAAATGTGAGTTTTTATGCTAATGAGTTTGACAGATGTCTGGCAGTCTATAAACAGCGCCAGAAAGGAGGCTGTTCACTGAGGAAACCAAGTCAGGATTAAAAGGTTGGGCTATTTCAGTCCACATCACCCCAACCGGAGAAGGTAGAAGTAATCTCCAACAGCTGTGGTTGTAATTTAGTATTTCCACAAATGAAGCTTCCATAAAAACCCAAGAGGTCAGGACCCCAGAGAGCTGTTAGGTATAAACACATGGACTTTTCTAGAGGGTAGACACCTAGAGGGGCCAGGAAAGTTCTGGGCTCCTTCTCCTATACCTTTCCATCTACACCATCTGATAATTTATCTGCACATTTCATAATAGCCTTTATAGTAAGTTGACAATAAGTGTTTCCCTGAATTCTGTGTGCCACTCTAGCAAATTAAATGAGACCAACATAGAGACTGCGACCATCTCAATTTACAGCCAATTAGAAGCACAGGTATAACAACTTGGGGCTCGGACCTGAAGTGGGGGACACTTGTGGCTATTTCCTTGTAGACAGTGGTAGAAACAAACTTAGAGGCCTTTCAGCTGGCCTCTGCTGGAGAATGTCCTGAAAATTGGTTTGTTTCTGAGTGAAAACTCCCTCCTCACATCCAGGGTTCACAGACATTTTCTGAGAAAATGAAATTTTTCATACATAAAAACAAGGGAGTTAAACAAAGCTGGTTTTCTTTGCAGCAGAATGTGTGCGGTGATTTTTCCAGGAAATACTTGAGTATGCAACATAACCAAAATTTTCTAGAGAACTAGTTAGGCAAATATAAATTTTCAGTGTTGTGGAGCGGATGATGGCCGACTAAAAATTCCTAAGAGCCCAAGATGCTTAGTATGTGCTGAACACACACACACACACACACACACACACACACACACACACACTGCTATTTGATTCCATAGCAGCAGTCAATAAATTGGAAACAAAGGCTGCAAAATGACAAAATATATTAGATAGTATTTACCAGCACCATTCAGTAATACAGCCTTAACCTTACCTCCTTGAACTACTTGATAACTTGTCAAGAAAAGCAGTTTACAGCAAGAAAGGCCATGTGGGATGTACCTGGTATTAAAATTGCTTTGTCTTAAAGTAACACGGAATCATTTTTAGCATTCAGTGTTTTACATGCATTTTCTTTTTTACTCTTGACACTTCTTTCAAGCATAAGAAAAGGTAGTAGGACAAATAACAGTGTTATATCGCTCCACTCATACTAATTGATAAGTGACTATGCATTATCAGTTTAACATTTACTCACTTAGCTGTCATCATGTTACACAACTCTGTTCTAAAAAGATATACTTTCTTATAACAACCTACCATCTTCTACAAAAAATATCCCTGAAGATCTTTAAATTATTTAAATATTAGTTTATTGACTAATAGTAGGCACTAAAAGAAACTCAAATCAAAGTACTATCAGTAAAATCAGCTTCCTGCCATTTGTTTTCAAACCACTTGTAACATTAAATTACTACCCTTGCCTGAGTGACAACTCCAGGGTTCTTTACTCCGTGTTATTTCTGTTAGATATATCTGACCCATTTTATTCCTTAATTTCGAAACAAATTTCATGCAGGAATACTAGAGTGGACTGAAAAAAATTGACAAAGCAAGAATTGAAGAAAATGAGCTTTTAAATATATCTGGACTTTCTATTGTAAACTTTGACAGCACAAAGAAACAGCTCACTGATAACAGATAAATCCTGATCTTAGCCAACAGGGAAAGAAGTGATCAAACGAACTTACATAACCTTTCTACAAGATATACCACTAAGCCTTAATGAAGAGTAAACCAAGTTCTTAAATCCAAGCTATCAATTTGAAGAAGGAAGCAAACTCAGGTCACTAGCAAAACAGCAGACAGATAAATGAGTGGTTCACAAACTATCAGCAACTAATATTTGTAGGGGAGGGGGGAAGTAGCAGAAATAAACTGTGCTCAGAAATTAGAGTTGACTATATTATGCCTACAGTTCCTCTACCAAAAATATTCTTGTCAGTTACAGCGTCTACGTAGTAAGAGCCATCCCTGATGTCTTTCCACGTCAGGGTTCACTGAAGTGTCAACAACGCAGGACTCTGACGTGTACTTACTTCATCACTGGCTTAAATCTCACATTGTAGTACGTTCTCTCGTCAGTGGTTTTACACGTAGCAAACTTCTAACCTGTTGTTTATTCTATGTTGGCTTTTTTTTTTTTTTTAACTTTACAAAACACGCCCTGTGTGTTTCATTTCACAAAATGCTCAAACTTGGCTTCCCTTTTCTCAGCCTCCACTCCCTTTCTGGTTCTTCCCCATTTCTCATCTCATCTGCAGTCTTTGGTTGGTGGCCGTTCAACGCAAATCGTGATTTGAATGGACTCAAGACTGGAAATGTTACTCGCAAAACCTGTTACGTGTAAGGGTTCACCTCCACCCTCGGCTCATTCTGAACACAGCGGGGTTGCGCGTTTGGTCCAGAACCCCTGAGGAAGGAGCCCGGGGCAGCCTCCCCGCTGGTTCCAGGATTCTCTTTCCCGCCTCCGTACCAGGCCCAGCACCCCGACAT